GCCCATCTGGTTCAGTGTGTCATTTTCAGCCACTATTTCCTTGTTGATTTTCTGCATAGATGATATGTTCATTGATATAAGTGGGGTGTTAAACTCCCCTATTATTATATTATTATAAATAAGTTCCTCTATATTTATTAATTTGTTGTACATTGTTATCAATTGTGTTATACGTTTGAGATCTCCCAAGTTGGCGGCATATATATTTACAATTGTTGGATAGTTCTTTTTATTATGATATAGTGCTCCTCTTGTTATATTCTTTGTCTTAAAATCTAGTTTGTCTGATATAAGGATTGCTACTCAGACTTTCTTTTGATGTTCATTTGCCTAATAAATGTTTCTTCATCCCCTCACTTTCAATCTGTAGGTGTCTTTAGTTCTAAAATGGGTCTCTTGTAGACAGCATATAGACGGAACTTGTTTTTTATCTATTCTGACATCCTACATCTTTTGAGTGGAGCATTTAGTTCGTTTACATTCAGTGTAATTATTGATAGATATGAATTTAGTGTCATGTTATTACCAGTTTTTTTTTCTGGAGATTTTTCTCTGTTCCTTTCTAATCTTTGTCAATTTTGATCTTTCCTTCACACTCAATTAATCCCCTTTAGTTGGGGCACCTGTGTGTCTCAGTTGGTTAAGCATCCAACTTTTGCTCAGGTCATGATTTGGTGATTCATGAGTTCTAGCATCACCTCAGGCTCTGTCCTGACAGCTCAGAGTCTGGAGCCTGTTTTGGATTCTATGTCTCCCTCTCTCTCTGCCTCTCCCCTGCTCATGCTCTGTCTTTCTCTGTCTCAAAACTGTAGTAAACATAAAAAAAAATAAAAATAAATATTTCTTGTAAGGATGATTTAGGGGTCACACTCTTTTAGTTTTTGATTGTCTGGGAAACTCTTTATCTCTCCTTCTGTTCTGAATTATAGCCTTGCTGCATAGAGGACTCTTGGCTGCAGATATTTCCCATTCAGCACCTTGGATATATCATGTCACTACCTTCTGGTCTATCAAGTTTCTGTGGAGAGATCTGAAGCTGTCCTATGTGTCTTCCTTTGTAGGTTACAGACTTCTTTTGTCTTGCTGCTTTTATAATTTTTTTCTTTAACTCTTTATTTGGGAAATTTAACTATAATATATCTTGTTCCTGGTTTTCCTTGTTTGATTTTTATGTGATCTTCTGGGCTCTGGATATCTATTTTCTTCCCTAGATTAGGAAAATTTTAAGCAATTATTTCTTCATATAAGCCTTCTGCTCTCTATTCTCTCTCTTCATCTTCTGGGACTCTATATGTTACAAATTTTATTACATTGATGGAATCACTGAGTTCCCTATGTCTCTTGTCATAATCTATAGTTCTTCCTCTTTTTTGTTCAGCTTCTTTATTTTCCATTATTCTATCTTCTACATCACTTATTCATTCCTCTACTTCTTCCATTGTTGTGGTCATTATATCCAGTAAGTTTTGGATCTCACTTATTTCATTTTTCATTTCCAACTTAAAATTTTAACTCTTTTATCTCAGCAGTAAGGGCCTTGCTGAAGTCCTATGTGATTTTACTCAAGCCAAGTGATACCCTTATGATTGTTGCTTTAAATTCTCCATCAGGCATATTACTTATATCTGTTTTGATCAGATTTCTTGTCATGACCTTTTGTTGTTTTTTATTTTGTGATGAATTCCTCCATCTTGGCATTTTGTCTGTCTTCTGTGTTTTAGAACATCTAGTTAGGGGCACCTGGGTGGATCAGTCAGTGAAGTGTCTGACTTCAGCTCATGTAATGATCTTGCAGTTTGTGAGTTTGAGCCCCACATCGGGCTCTGTGCTGACAGCTCAGAGCCTGGAGCCTGGTTCAGACCCTGTGTCTCCCTCTCTCTCTCTGCCCCTTTCCTCTCTCACACTCTGTCTCTCCCTCTCTCTCTCAAAAATAAATAAACATTAATAAAATTTGAAAAAAAAAGTCCAGTTATGTGTCCTGCACCTGAGAGTGACATATTTTTGAAGAGAAGTTATGTAGTGGCACTTCAGCAAGTGTCTCTGTTGTGTGCTGTGTGCACTCTGCTGTTGTGTTTTGGTACTCTATCCTTCAGGCCAGTAATCTGAAGAGGCTCTCCTTGCCTGAAGTGTGTACTGTTTGGTCCATGGCCAGAGACTTGTGAGTTTCAACTTGGTCTGCTTCTTAATGAGACCTGATGCTATTTTCCCTATAATGGAAGTCTTGCAGAACTATGGTTGGGTCACATGATGTGTACAGGGTTTTCTGCTGGTCTTCTTGGGAAGGGGTCCTCTGTGCAAAGCTTTAGGCACACTTTCCAGGGAAAGCAGTATCAACAGTGTGGAAGGGAGTTGTACTTTCCTCCAAACACTCCAAAATTCCAAGAATAATATTTGGGTTTCCCAAATTTGTGTAAATATGGATTACTGTTTCTAACTGCTGTTAAGATCTACTGGAGCAGTGCCAGAAGATAGTTTGAAAAACATTGTCTTAAACATCAGCTACTAATCACATCTGTTAAACTCATCATTTAGTCATGATACACTTTTACATGAGCCTATGATGTAGGTTTTAACCATAGGTAATACTTTTCATTAATTTAAAAACATTTATTAGGAGCCTATTCCTTAGCTCCTATTGTGCTGACTCCTTAGGGCTACCAAGGGAGATAAAAGGAACACACTGTTTTATTTCTTTTTTAAAAATTTTTTTTCTTTTTCTTTTTTCTTTATTATTATTATTATTATTATTATTATTATTATTATTTTGCGGGGAAAGAAGTAGTCGTCCTAAGTAATGTAAAGTTTCAAGTGGTCAGTACTATGAAAAAGGTCCACATAGTGACACAGAAGACCTTGTTCTTAACAGACAAGTGGTCATGCCAGGGAATCAGCCTGATTCCAAAAGAGTGTATTTCCTTGTCTCCAACAACAGCAGAATCATAGTATCCTTCCATTCAGGTCTACAAAGAAAAGTTTGTGGCAATGCAAAGAACAGAAATTAAATAGTGAATCAGTTCATTATGATTAATTAGTGATTGTAATCATTATATATTTCTGTATTAGAGGCTTGTACAATATGAGTCAGTGGATTTATTCTTGCCGTTTGAAAGGGAATAGTGGAAACACACAATGGCATCAGGATGGACACATGTATGAATACCTTACATAAAAGTACTTAGTTATTAGAAAAATAATTACATATTTACCTAAAATATAATTTAAAAGATGAGAGTTTTGTAAGGGTAGGGAGTAAAGCAGTATGAAAAATGACAGACTTATAATGAATTAATATTACTGATAAATTCAATAGAATTTCCCCTCCCACATCATCATATATCTTTCTGCTTCATCACTTCTATCTAAGAATTGATGATGTGGTAGCCAATTTATTTCCCATCCCACCCACATTATCCTCCATCTTCCCCATTTTCTTTCTTCTTAACGTCTAATATTCTGATTCCTAAGTTATTTAACTAGTTCATCTTTGAGTACCTACCAAATACACCTAATATTCTCATGCTAGGTAAATTAACCCCCCAGTGAGGGCTACATGACTCTCAGCACGAGGAGGCTGCACAGAAGTCTCTCAATATTTGAGTCCTCAACATTTCCCTTTAGAAACCTGGAAATGGTTAATTCAGTCAAATACCTCAAAAGGAAAGAATTCCATGGAGACATATAGGAAAGTAAGAGTCCAATATTATTTTTTAATTATGTTATTTATAAAGGATCAAACAGTGAATGTGTGGTTGAGAAGGTCAGGTAATATTATCCCATTTGTTCTTGATGGTAATTCCTAAAAAGAGTTGATTGACACTGTTGGTGGCAATATAAATTGGTGCAGCCACTATGGACAACAGTGTTTTTAATTAAAAAGTAGAAATACTTTACAACCCAGTAGTTCCAATTATAGGTATTTACCTAAAGAAAAAAAACCCACTAGTTCAAAAAGATATATGCACCCCTATCTTTAATCTGTATTGCAGCATTATTTACAATAGCTATGACATGGATGTAACACAAGTGTTTATCAATAGATGAGTCGATAAAGAAGAAGAAGTATGCATATACAAGGGGTTATTACTTAGCCATAAAAAGGAGGCATCTTTCCAGTTACAACAACATAGATGGACTTAGAGGGTATTATGCTAAGTGACGTAAGTTAGGCAGAAAAAGACAAATACCACATGATTTCACTTATAAGTAGAAGCTAAAAAACAAAACTAGTGAACAAACAAGCAGCAACAAAACAAGAAATAGACTCATAAATACAGAGAATAAAATGGTAGTTGCCAGAGGGGTGCAGGTTGGGTAGGGGGGCAGACAAATTAAATGAAGGAGATTAACAGGCACAAACTTCTAGTTATAAAATAAGCAAGTCAAAATGATGAAGAGTATAGCATAGGGAACACTGTCAATAATATGGTAATAATATTCTAGGGTGACAGATGGTGACTACACTTACCATGGTGAACATTTGATAAGGTATATGTTTTTTTTAAATCGCTATGTTGTATATTTGAAACAAATACAGCATTGTGTATCAATTATACTTCAATACAAATAAAAATAAAAAGAGTTGATTAGCAAACTATACCCATAAAATCATATCCATAATAGCAAGATGGTAAACTGTGGTCTTTATACTTACATTATATTTGTAACATTACACATAAAATGATAGTGCTTGATGTTTTTGGCTAATGGTGAATGAGTCAGGTAATGAGCATTTATTTACTGCTCACTTTTCAGATTCCTACTCAAAGATGGACTCAGAGGACTTTATGACAGAGATTCACTGTCACACAAATTGTAGGAAAATTGGGATTAAAGTTCACATTGCAAAATGCAGGCCAATAAATTATAATACTGTGGTGAATAAAAGTACATGTAGATTGGATGGTTACTGAGGATGCTAATGATTTTGGAGGAGGGTAATTTGAGAGGTAGAGCAGGGCCTCTTTGGAGTCCTACATGTGTGGAGTATGAAATAGCAGTGCTTATTCTCTTCCCTGATAGCTCAATGGGAGGAGAAGTCTCCTTATTGCCCCTTTCATGTCCTTGTTCCTCAAAGTATAAATAAAAGGGTTAAGCATAGGAGTCAGCAGACTGTAGAACAGGGCCATGAGTTTGTTCTTGTCCTGGGAGTTAGTACCAGAAGGTTGCACATACACGCATATTACTGGCCCGTAGAAGAGAGAGACGACAATAACATGGGAGCCACAGGTGTTGAAGGCCTTCTTCTTTCCCATTGATGAACGAATTCTGAGCACTGTAGTTACAATGAACCCATAGGAGACAAGGATAAGAGACAAGGGGACCAGGGTAAAGAATGTACCCACAACAGAGAGCATAGTTACATTGAAAGCAGTGTCGACACAGGACATCTTGATCATCACTGGAATCTCACACAGGAAGTCATCCACCTTGTTGTTACCACAAAGTGGCAGTTGGACAGTGAGAGATGCCTGAAGCAAGGAGTTAGTCAAACCACTTATCCATGCCACAGACACTAAGAAGACACAGAGTCTCTGATGCATGATAGCTGGGTACCTCAAGGGCTTGCAGATGGCTATGTACCGATCCAAGGACATGACCACCAAGATGATGCATTCCGTGGCCCCCAGGAAGTGAAACACATAGAACTGGGCCACACAGCCTCCATAGCTGATGGACTTATCTTGGCCCCAGAGGTTCACCAGCAGCTGAGGGATGGTGGTTGTGGTAAAACACAGGTCCAGAAAGGAGAGGTTGGAAAGGAAGAAGTACATAGGGCTGTCAAGATGAGGATCCACCTTGGACACAACAATAATGGAGATGTTTCCCACTAGTGTGCAGATGTAAGCCACAAGCACCATTATGAAGAGTGGCTTTTCCAACCAGGGATGGTCAGAGAAACCCAATAGGGTGAAGAACTTTGGAATGCTTGCATTGCCCGGATTCATGACTGCCATTTCTCTTCTTGGTGGATTCAAGTGAAAGTGAGGACACGTATTTCAGTATGGGGTTTCCTGAGGGTCAGTTTATTCATTTGGAGAGAGTGAATTATGCAGGGATTTTCTTTGTGGTGTAACTCCAGTGAAATTGTTATACTTGTAATCATGAAAAAGTATGAGTCTCAATGCCAAACATTATTATTTTGTAGTGTGTCTAAAAGAAAGGGCAACAAATCTGTGCATTTGCCTAAGAAATGCAATAGAGAAAATTTTATTAGAAAAATGATTAGGGAATGGGGAAAGTCACCATTGTTCTTGGGGAAAAGAATAAATCAGAGGAGTGGTTCCCAGGAACAAGCCATGCTGATGTACCACATGGCTTCATTTCTTTCATCCATCATCTGCTGGCCCTAGACCACTCTGCCTGAATTCATGATGTGATTTAGGGAAGTTCAGGACGTTCTGAGCTCCAACAGAATCAGTCTGAATGCATAGAAACAAGATACATCACTGTTCCTTGGGCCTATGCCCCAAATCCTAAACTGACTTTTGCAGCACAAACCTTTTGTCATAATGGGAAACATGTAACTTAAAGGAAATGGTTCCTTTCCACAGGTTCCATACTTGAAGAACAAGAGAAAAAGTAATTGATAGTACTGCTTGGTGATATGAGCCATTCAAGGCATCAGTGCTTAAAAGTACAATGTGATGTGGGTTCATGCTTGTCACACCAGAAGTTGAAATCGATCACAAATTTGGCAGTTCAATGTTTCTTTGTGGATTTACTATATTTGTTTCCATCACATGTGTGAGTGTATGTGTATTTGTGTGATGTGGATTATAAAATGAATTGTATATCTTGCTATTGGCACTGGTAAGAAGTTCGAAAAAACACTTGTAGTAGAAAAGAAAAGAGGATATGAAGTCAGAGAACGTGGATCCTGTCGACTGGGATAGTTAACACATAGACCTTTTCTCTTTTTTAATTAAAAAATTAATGTTTATTTATTTATTTTTGAGAGGGAGAGAGGATGTGCAGGGGAGGGGCAGAGAGAGGAAGAGAGAGAGAATCTCAAGCAGGCTCCATGGTGTTAGTGCAGAGCTCGATGTGTGGCTTGATCTCATGTACTGTGAGATCACTACCTAAGCCATGTTCAAAAATTGGATGCTTAACCAACTGGGCCACCCAGGTGCCCCAAGACATAGACATTGTATGCATTGCTTATGTACCACCTGTGTCGTGAGGATTGATTAATCCAGTATCTGTGACTATGCTTCATTAAGTATAATGCTTAATGTTGGGGTAGTTACTTTTAGGAAGTGTAGTGTCCAGTGTGATTAAAAGTCCATATCTTTTCATTAATCCTTGGTCTGGTTGCATCCAAATATTAGTAGTGTACTTACCTCACCAAAAGACTCACAAAATTTGCATTTTGTTCCCTTTCATTCCCCAAATCACTCCTATCATGTGGCTTGAATCCAGGGTTCATGATGTTAAGATTTTTATACAAGTACACGTATATTTTAATTCATTGAAATGCCCACAAATGCAAGCAGTATCCCTATATCTTTCTTCATTAAAGGAGATATATTTTAATGTTTTATGTTATGATGTTGCGTTATTAAAGGTTTTGATTTATTTACACGTATTTTAGTACAGAACTTGCATAGAGAGGACACAAAACACATGGAATTGAAAAACGATAAAATCATGAAGCTGAATAGATCACTTCCACCCATATACAACACCTACCTTACATCATTGCTGCTATTTAATGGTCGTGCTCTCTGTTCTTGCAAAATTGACTTGATCTTTTCTTTCCAAAGGAACTAAACGTTAATTAGAGATGAGGATTGAATATTCTGTCTGTGTTCAGTGGCTTCACATTATATCCTAGGTCCGTAATACAATTTGTCCTTTTGATTTGAAAGACCCTGAGTATGTTTATATGTGGACACAAATAACATTTATTAAGGAATAGTTCCTTCTCTTTATATAAAGCTGTGCAACATTTCCTTCATAAAGATAATGAACCTCAGTGGACATCTCTTGGCAAGAAACACAGTACAGACTCCCTAGTGGGAATACCACTTGTTGCCATATTAACATGGAAGGATAATTTTTGGAATTTCTCTTATTGTGGAAAATGGACTCAGAACTAAAATAATTCTAGAAAACTCATCTACCTCAACAATTTCATAGAAAACTTCCTTATATATCAGTGAAAAATTGAGACAATTATTTTTGTTGTCAAGAGAGAATTTTCTTTTATTTATATTTTCTTCAGGCTATTGTTTATTTATATTCTTGCCATAATAAAAGTGGGAATGTTTCTAGTTCTATACGAGAAAGAAGAAGTGGTCACCTTTCAATTTGATTTTTAAGAAACCAAAGGACTTTTGTCTCCATATATTTCTTCCAAAATAACCTAGCACAGTAATGACTTTTTACCTCACCTAACATGGACTACATAAAAAATAGTCCCTCATTTGGGTTAAACAATAAATCATTATGGCAAGGAAAAGTTAACATACGTTATTTTGTTTATTTATTCATTCAGTCAGTAAAAATTTGTTGAGTGCCCACTATATGTCAGTCACTTTTCTTGATGCTTCAAAATGTAATAGTGGACAATGTCATAAAAATTTGCTTAAATGAAACTTTTTTTGTAATAGAGAAATACTATATTTGTGCTTATTGTCAGTGTCTCAGGGGATTTGACTTCAGAATAGTTGAAACACTCATGCCAAAATTTATAATTCTGCAAACTCGTGTAGAAAATTTAAGCTTTGCAAGATTATTTTTTTTTTATTTTAGCTAACACTGATACACAATGTTACATTAGTTTCAGGTGTACAACATAGTGAGTCACCATCTCTATACATGAATGTATGTTTGCCACAATTGTAGTCATCATCCATCACTGTAAAACGCTATTACACTATCATTGACTATATTCTCTGTGCTGTACCTTTTATTCTCATGAGTTATTCGTTCCATAACTGGAAGCCTATACCTCCATCACCACTTCATCCACATTTCCATCCCCAACCTCCTCACTCTGGCAACCATAAGTCTGTTCTCTGTATTTGTGGGTCTGATGTTTGTTCATCCCTTTTTTTCAGGTTGCACACATAAGTGAGATCATATGGTATTTGTCTTTTTCAGTCTCACTTATTTCACTTAGTATAATACCCTTTATGTCCATCCATGTTGTCACAGAGGGCAAGATATCATCTTTTTCATGACTGAATAATAAATGTATATACATACTGTATCTTTCTTGTACATTTGTCTGGACACTTAAGTTGCTTCCATACCTTGGCTATTGTATATAATGGTACAATATACATTAGGTACATGTGTCTTTTGGAATTACTGTTTTCATTGTCTTAGGTAAATACATAGGAGTGGAATTATGGGATAATATGCTATTTCTATTTTTAATAGTTTGAGGAAACTCCATTATGTTTTCCACAGTGCCTGCACCAATTTACATTCCCACCAGCAGTGGAGGAGTGTTCTTTTTCCTCTATATTCTTGGCAATGCTTATTTCTTGTCTTTTTGATTTTAGCCATTGTGACAGTTGTTTTGGTTTTGACTTGCTTTTCACTGATGATTAGTGACTTTTAGCATCTTTACATGTATCTGTTGGCCATCTGTACATCTTTCTGTAAAAAAAATGTCTATTCACACTGGCAGCCTATCTTGCATACACCAACCCCCCACACTGCTGTACTCTGGTGGGACTGCTCTTCTCATTCACACTTGCCTCAGTCCAAGTGCAGTGAGACCCTCGCCCAGAAGACCAGCACAAACCCTGCCCACATAATGTCTGCTGACCAAGAGTTCTACAGAGCCCAGAACTGGTGGAGGTGTGACAGATTTCATTTCATAGTCAGACCAGAGCTCACTCGTTAAAACTCACCACATTCAGGCCAGGGAGCAGAAACTTCCCTTTGCAGGCAGAGAGCCTCTGCAGATGACTAACCTGAATGACAGAGCATCCAGAACAAAAAAGCAGACTGTATGCAGCATATACTGGAGACATGTCCGAAAGCCCCAGGCTCTGGACATTATACAGCCTCTTCTTCATAGGGCCATTACTCTCAGGAACAGAAAATATAACAGGCTTTACTAACACAGAAAAAGACAAAGATCTAGGAAAAATGCCACAACAGGGTGTGTGATCCCAAGTGAAAGAACAAGATAATGTCATGGCCAGAGATCCTAGTGAAAAGATATAATATTCCTAATGGAAAATTTATGGCAATTATCATAAGGATACTCACTGGGATCGAGAAAGGAATGGAAGACTACAGGGAGTCCTTTACTGCACAGATAAAAAAAAACAACAAGCAGTCAGAAATGAAAACTTCAATAAATGAGATTTCAAACAGAAGTGATGCAACCAACACAGGATTGAAGAAGCAGTGGAATAAATAAGTGACCTAGAAGACAAAATAATGGAAAATAAAGAAGCTGAAGAAAAGAAAGAATAATTATGCAACATGACAATAGACTTAGTAATAACATTTGTATTACAGGAGTCCCAGAGGAAGAAAAGAGAGAAAAAGAGACAGAGAAATTTATTTAAGGAAATAATAGTTAAAAACTTCGCTAATCTGGGGAAGGAAACACACATCCAAATCCAGGAAGCACAGAGAACTCCAATAAAAAAACAACATAAAAAGGCTAACATTAATACATATTGTAATTAAATTTGTAAAATATAGCAATAAAGACAAAGTCCTAAAAGTAACAAGACAAATGAAGTCCCTAACTTAAAAGGGAAAACCCATAAGGCTGGCTGCAGATCTCTCCACAGAAACTTGGCAAGGGAGAAAGAATTGGAATGATATACTAAACATGCTGAATGGGGAAAAGTCTGCAACCAGGAATACTGTATCTGGTAAATCTATCATTCAGAAAAGGAGAGAAAAAGGCTTTCTCATAATAAAACCTGAAGGAGCTCATGACCACTAAATAAGGCTGAAAGAAATATTAAAGAGCACA